TGCTTTGTAATTTAATCATAAATTATATCATCATATTTATCATCATTATATTTATATAATTACATGTATAAAAGAATGATTTATATATATATATTTATTTCTCTTGATTCAGAGCTTTTTTCGCATCTTACTTTTTACTTGATTCATAGTTTTATTTTTTATACACCTTTCGCTTAATTCATAGTTTCGTTTTCTATTCACCTTTCGCTTGATTCATAGATTCCTTTTCCTATTTTATCTTTGTTTGATTTATAGATTTCTTTTCCTATTTTACCTTTCACCTAATTCATAGTTTTTTTTCCTATTTTACCTTTTGCTTAACTCATACTTCTTATCTTTTACTTTAATAAATACATTTGTCATACTGTATCTTAGATCTTATACTTTTTTCTAAAATAACTAGAACTGAAGATATAACTTGTTCCACCACTACAAATATTTACATGTATGTAAATCACATCGCAGAAGATACTTCAAGTTTTTCAACTATCACTGAAGGGTTAACAACAATGCTTATTGAGTTCAAAGCTAATCAAGAAAAACAAAACGTTGAGTTTTTAATTATATTAAATAAGATCCAAGACTAAATACAAAAAATTAAAAATCCTCAAGCTTCTCAAATCGATTACAATTCTGAGCTAGATTGTAAACTCGATCAAATAGCAAAAAAGATAAGTGAAAAAATAAATAAGGACTTAGAAACCATAGATAATGATATAATTAGATTAATGAATAAATTTCTTGGTGATATTATAAAGAAAGTAAAAGGTGAAATAAACAGAAAAAGTTTAAAAGAAATTTTAACTAAACCTAACATTATTGAAGTTGATGATGATGATGACGATAACTATATTGAAGAATCCGATGAAGAAATCACTAACTGCACTAAAGATAGCTAACCAACAAAACAAAACAAAAAAAATCTAAAAAATCCTTTCCAGTTCTACGTGAAAGAATTCATATAAAAATTAATCAGCATTTAGAATGGGCTAAAAAGAAAAAAGAAAGAAAATTGAGTATTGCTAAAAATATCAGACGTACTTATATATACAATTTAGGTAAAACTCCTGCAGCACCCCATAATAGAGATGTCACTGAAGCATATGTAAAGTTTTTTCAGCAGGAACTAAAGGATAATCCAAACGCTTGTAAGCTAATTTATTTACTATAATCTTATCTTGCTAGAGTTACTATTGCTGTTTTTGAATTAGCAATAAGTGAATTTCACGAATCTTATAAATCTTGCATATTACCATTGTAAAATAATAGTAATATATAGGGTTCATAGAATTCATGAAATTCATTTATCATACTAATTCATATATATAATTTATTTCTTTACAGAAACCTGTTTTTTTGCTAAATATGTTTTTAATATAATTAAAATATTTTTATTATATTTTTAAAAT